AAAGCGGATACAGAAGCGAGGAGTACTTACAAAGGGAGCTGGAGAGGATCTACTCGCTTAGCGCGAGGCTAATCAGCAGATTGCTCATGAAGAGCGTCAGAGAGGAGAGCGATTAGGTGTTAGCCGCCAGGCTTTGGCGCGCTGTAGTAGGTGCAGAGAGACTGGCCATAACTCGCGTACGTGCAAGAAAGATACTCTAGGTACTGCTTAATCTATTATGTTAATATGTAGTAAAACAACTATATTGTGGTGGAACTACAGGCTTATAGAGGTGCGCAGGTTTGGTGGGGTGCGGCGCTCGCTTGCCTGCGGCGCTCGCTTGCCACATACGTTATATATTTTACATGACTCCAACACGCGTTACAAGGGGGGTATGGCCCCAGCATGGCCGTATTCTAAGATTGGCTTAATACGAGAACCATGTCGTCGAGAGAAATTGGGCAGTCCCTCTAATGCGAGGGGGGCTAGTGCTAGTGTGGTTGGATTTCCTTGCAGGGGGTGGTGTGACAACGCCTAGAAGCCGGCTAAGGCGTAAGTACGGGCCGAAAAGCTTGGGTTGCTCTCCTGAAAGGAGAGCCGCGCTATACTAATAAGCCCCTGCTACGCATGCACTGCATTCTCATACGTACATAGGAGGAAGCACATGTTGACAAACCTCGGGGCGATCCGCTGATCTTGTTCCCAGCTTCGCATCGCTGTCTTTTGCTCGATGCAGTCGGACTTTAGGCAGTGAGTCAGTATAGCGGGCTAGCTTGGGCCCATTCGTACAGGCGCAGCGGTAGTATGATGCGACTGCTCGGACAATTTCAGCACTGACAGGGAAAGGGGGATCGTTGCAGTGGGCTGGAAGAAATTTCGAGAGAAGTGGAGGGGTGTGGAGTGTTGGGGCGAAATGTCTCAGTCGATTGCATCATAGCGGGCTCAGGGCGGTCGACTTGTCCATTGTTATGATTGTTATTATTATTCATATGCCACGGCTGAGTTGTATAGGTGTAGGGAGTCGCTAAAGCAGCTGCAAGTACACGTGGACATCACGTGCAAGAGCCACGCGCATTGACAATATTCCGGACGCAGCCGCTGTAAAGAGAGAAGAGAACCTTGCTTCCCCCATTCTGAAGGATGTTCATGATCATCCTACTAGATACCAACACAGTCATAGTTGAAGCATACCTGGACATAAAAACTACATTTTCACGCCGTGTTGAGACTGGGAGGATTAAAAACAAAAAATAGAGATAGCTCCTTATTTTTAGATATAGCAGAGAGATCATGGCCACAAATGTCACAAGTGCAAGGGGGGGTGGGGCGCTGGGAATAGTGGTGAGAGGGCATCTTCCCGAACCGCGGACGCAAAGCTATTAGCGTGCGGCTGCTAGCACATGTGCTAATACGATGCATGTTCTCCAGGAGGTCAGCATGAAGATTGCTCCAGCATGGTAGTATATGTCTATAGATGTGCCCTATTTCCCATGCTGATTTCGCAAAAACAGCGCCCACATGATGGTGTCTCAGACTTCGGCTTTGCAGGGCACGTGCATGGCTCCTCGTGGATCGTCACGTGCAGTGCCCACCTAAGCTGCTGCGCCACACTGGGGCTTGGCAGTGGCAACAACTCCCTTTCACGCAGGCTGCTCTCTCTTCCACTCATCCACACTCGACCTCCCCACTCCAACTCGCACAATCTAACCCTCTACTTTACGCGTCAACACCATCACCATGGACGAAGATCTCATCGCCTTCGGCATCTTCATGCTACTCTTCCTGTCCTTTCCATTTCTCACCGTGGTCAGCATAACCGGCTGCGTCGCATACTCGCGCACCAAAGCCTGGGACAAGGCCCGCAACCAGCGCGCCGTCAGCCTCGAGTCGTCGGAGACCAACCGGCTTGTTGCCCAAGACGACGACGAGTCAGACTACTATGACACCGAGGATGAGGAGGAGCACAGCAAGCGCCAGGCCGAAGAGGAGGCCGACAAGGACATTTCCTTCAACCACAAGTTCCGCAAGGAGTTTAGGAATGTCTGGATGGGCAAGGGCAAGGCAGATGTCCTGAAGCAGAAGGAGCGCGAGGAGAGGAGGAAACTAGCAAAGGCTGTGGCAAGGGAGCTGGATCGCCGAGACCGCAGGAAGGCCAGGGCTGCCAACAGAGTCCAGTCTTCTGAGGACCTGCCTGCCTACACCAAGGCTTAGCAAGCGCCGTTTTGTGGTTTGCCTCTTGTGACAGCAGTATGACTTGTGTACTGCCATGTGCGAGGGGTAGACAGCTTTCTCTTGGCTACAAATTGATACCCTTAGTCTTCCAATCCATGTGTCCGTTTCTACCCCTGCCGAATATAGTCTCTATCCAACATGTCAAACTTTCGAACCGTGCTATCATCTTAGTTGCAGGCCCGCTTCGTAGGAATCCTACCCGATGGCTCTTGTTGTCGGGAGCATGAAACTGTACAAATGCCATGTGACAGTTGCACAGTGACAGGATTAACCAAACATGGTGCTGCACTGGCATTTGGGCTGTTTATTCCGAAGAGGACAGCAAGCGTCTTTTGGAGACTCATCATCTGCCATCTGTGTAGAAACAAGAGTATTCATATTACATTCAGGAGCAAATCCAGCAGCCGTAAGCTTCTATGACTTTGTACACTCGAGGCAAACATGCGCCATCATGTGGGAGATTCTTCCTACCCTGGATATGAGGTCAACGCTATTCCAATGACATGATTTCCACGCACCTCTCATGCCATCGATACTCGTGCTCTTCGGAGTCGATAGACTGTGAAAGACTCGCATTGTGACCATGATGTCATGGTCATTTTTCCCGCCTTGGTCATTCTATGTTCCTTGATCATCTATTGTTTGGTTTTTGACATGAAAGTTCAGGCATATCTTCATCTTTGCTGCCGTGACAATCAACATAGCAGTTTCGAGCATTGTCTGTTCAGCCCACGACCCAGCCAGACGCAACTCAAACTAGTAGCTTTAATCTGACCTATCGCCTTCCCCTTCCCACGGGAGCCTCCGCCATCGGAAATGCCGTCGCCACTTACCGTACCACACCCTAGTCGCTAGTCGAATATGCGCACACTAGCCGAAGTGCAACCTCCGACACGCATCTTCAGGAACGCTCCCGTACTGGGCGTCAACCGACCCCCTCTGGACAAAACTGTGCCACCCTGCAAACCTTTTTAGATTCATGCACCCCGGACTTGCTGACTGCGGAAGCGATAGCAAAGCCGTTGAGCTGGTTCTGATCAGCGGACAAAACTGGGGTACATCAAATCCGAGGCAGTGGCGCGCGGGAAGAGGCGCACGGCGTCCTAAGACTATAGTATGTTCTAGTTTAGCTTTCACGTAGAGTCTTTTCACCCCCATGCCTGAATCGCTGTACCTTGTGGCTTATTCATTCAACCACTGCATATTCGAGAGCTATGTAATGAATACATGGATAAGTAGGTCGTAGGACATTGGATAGGGTGGTGCGAAATCCTGTGGCTTCCATAGCTGTCTATCCACATTGAACTCCAATCCTTGACTTTTATGTATGCGTCTTGGACGTTTCAGGGCCAGAGCAGTAGCTGGAAATTCTTCAAACCACAAGACAGTGGCTCCCATGCATACCTTTCGCGTCGACAGATTTCTACATGTGCAAAAGCTCCAGCGCCGTGGAAATCAATCGCGAGATTTGTTTGTATTGAAGCTACTGCTGCCTTGCAAGCGGTGTGATGAGTATTATCACTGCCTCCATCCGAAGTTCTCTCTTGGGTATATGTTCCCCTTTACTAATCTAGGCGAGGATATCTTCCTAGGCTCCTCAGATCAAGAGCTCGAAATGTCTTCGATATCCGCCGGTGCTATATCCGGAGTTATTCTCACGAGTCATACATGTCCGGTCGCAAACTACCTCTGAACTCTTGCTGCCCAGAGCTGCAGTAGGATGATTGATTTCAAGAAAACGTTGTGCGATTTGTTCGATTCCACACGCAGGTCTGTGGCAAGAGCTTTACTGCCCTGGAGAGCTACTGTCAGTACTCGTGCCACGCCTGCTCGTCCGATGGCCGACCTGCTGACTCTTTGACCCGGATTCGCGCGGAAAATCTGTTGCCCATGACAAGGACAGCTGGCCTCAACACACTCATGTTCCCATTGTGCTGCACTAGTCAAGGCTGTGGGGCCAAGCTAGCCTACTGCCGTCGCTGTCACTGTGTCTGCTACCGACTTCATGTCTTTGTCTATCGATCTGGCCATTGTGGACTGACTTGGCCGCAGGCATGTTCTTCCAGTGGATATGGTGGAAATGGCGGTGTCACTTGCTGTCCTTGGTGTTAGTCTCTCCTTTGTTGGGTTCGTTTGGAGGAGGCTGGGGGCCTCGGAGGGGAGATTGGGTGGTCATGTTGTCTGGTGATTTCTGTCGTTGCCATGTTCACCGCCTTTTATAGCTCATGAGTAGCTGCAATTGCATGGATAGGTAGGCAGGAGAGTCAGGTCCATTCTCCAGTGTTGTTACAGCTCCCAACACCATGTCAACCTGATTGGGGGACTGTGAAACAGGCGCAAAGGCCATGTATATGGAACTACGGAATGTAGGCAAGATGGCTGACACAGTCATATGGTGCTAGAGCACAGGCATCATAGTTGCGTGTGCGATTCTCTCCCTGAGGATGGGCATGGCGCCCTCCAGAGCCTTGAACCTGTATGGCCGGATTTGCTTGGTGAAGTGGCTGTTTTTGGTCGTGTGCTTGCCTGGTGCCGAAGATGGCTCGCTGGATGCTACTTGGAAAGCTCTTGAGCGTGCAGAGGGAGAGTAGGAAATATGTAGGAGGGGCCGGGACAACCCTGGGGCCTTTGGCCATTAGCATAAACGGAGGCATCGAAGGTACTTGTGTGGATACATCTGACTGGAGTATTCGGCGTTAATGCCTCAGCTCGAGGCCCCGTGGCAGGCACTTGCAGCAATATCGCTGGTGTGATATTATGTGTGTCTTGTTTTCCTCTTCTTCTGGTGCTCTCCGACTTCTGCCTCACTCGAGACGGGCGGGGAGAGACAGCTCAGCACACCCACGCACAGCAGCACGCGCCCTCGCAGCCCAGCCGTCGACCCGGCGGCAGCGAGCAGCTGGAGGCTCTCAACAAGATGCAAATCATGATGCGCGCCCCGAAGGCGTCCTGACTCGCTAGCGGGCATCGCCATTGGCCCCCGCAAATTTACTATGTGCCCCATTCTCGTCTCAGTGCACCCTGGCCATCTCCCACCGTCGCCCTCCCTCAATCCATCGCTATTCCCGTCTCAGGCATCCAACTCTGCACCTTTACCTTTGCACATGTCGCAGCCACCACACCAGCACCAGCAACAACACCCGCCAGCGTCGTCTTCTGCGCCGGCCTCGCAACCGTCGCCCCCCCAGCCTCGCCCTGCGCGGTCCAAGAACGGCTGCAACGCGTGCAGGTACACATCACATGAGCCACGACGAGCTGCGAGGCACAGACACTGATGACCATGACGGCAGGAGGCGCAAAGTACGATGCAACGAGCACCGCCCGCGCTGTTCTCACTGCGAGCGCTTGAATCTTGACTGTACTTGGCACCGTCCAGCTCCCGCGCGGAGCAGCAGCATCTCGCATCCCTCCCGCTCGCTCGTGACCAGTGCTGCCCATGGCCAGCATCCGTCCTTTGCCTCGGCCTCGCTGCCGCTGGATGCCTATGGCTACAGCCTCGACATTTCCGGCCCGCTCAGCATGGGCGTCTGGGACGAAGCCATGCTGCTGAGCCCGAGTGCGTGGCCCACTGACGCCATGCCCGCGGCCGACTCCATCTACCAACTCCACGATGCCCATCAGTCCGCAGGCCCGCTGGTCGAAGTCGCTCCCGCCGTCAGAAGCCAGCCGCGCCACTACCGGCCCGACGCAGAGTGCACGTCGTCGCCCTTTTCCACCGAGAGCGCGCCCAACGGGCACGCCGTCGAAGAGCTGCTGCTCAACTCGTTTCTCCAGATGCTCATGCCCCCTATCCTGACGCCCGTAGAGATCGGCCCAAAGTGGTCCTCTACGCGCGCCTTCTTCGCCACCATGGCAGCCGAATCGCCCCTCGTCAAGAGTGCAATCATGGCTTTTGCCGCCATGCAGATGCAGCGCGGCGGCCTGGGCGGAGACGCTGCAAAGGTCGACTGGAGACTGCTCTACGACAAGGCCTTCAGCCGCCTGCCTAGCCGCTCCGCAGAAGCACGACCCGCTGACAAGGCTGACGGGGCCTCCAGCCATGGGCTCAGACATGTGCTCGCTGCCCTCTTTCTGCTGACGTACATTGATCTGTTGACAGAAACCCTCACCAGAGCGCATGCCAACCTCCGAGAAGCCTACAACCTTATTCAAAACGCAGAGTCCAAGACCTTTTCGCTTCCTGAGCGTCGCTTGATCTCCTGGCTGCGTCTCCTCGATGCACGCGCCGTATCGACAGCTGGGGGCGAGGGACTGTTTCTCGCAGAAACAGACGAATCCCTCTTCGATGCCTCGCCTGCCGCCATCCCCGGCTTGGAGCCAGAGACGTCTGACCTTGAGATTGAGGACATCCTTTTTGACGTCTTGTACAGACCCGGCATCGTCTTTTTTCACAAGATCCACTCTGTTGCTGGCCGCATCACACGCATCGATCCCTGGCATCGTAGTCGTGGTACTGTCGAAGACGAGACAGAGGTCATGGCACTGGCTGCCCAGATTTCAAAGGACTTGCACACCATTTACAGCCAACGTCCAATATTGATGGATCACGCCATAGCCGGAAACCTGACTGAAAAGCATCTGGCTAAGAACCTGGCACGCGCACTCACCCAAGGGTTTCGCACATACCTATGTAATTACTACGCTTCCTTCCTGCATCTCCACCGCGTTGCATATGTTCAATACCCCAAAACCCAAGATGTCATTGACGCTGTTGCAAACATCAAGCGCTTGTGCCATCTCATGACGCAGTCCGATGAGCGTCTGCCGGTAAATGTGTTGTGGCCGCTTTTTATGGCAGGCTGTGAGGAAGTAAGTCGCCATGGTCTTTGTTTGGATGATATTGGAATGAAGCTACTAAAAACATGTTTAGGAGGATGTCGAAGAGCGAAAGTGGATTCTTGAAGCAATACGGGGACTTGGCGTAGCCACAAATGCAAAGGCTACAGCTGACCTGCTTGAAGAAGTACAACGGCGACAGGATGAGAGTCAGAAGAGGGTAGACGCTCGGCTCTGTAGTTCGCAGTTTTTTTCATCGCCTGACCATTTTGCAATTGTATGAGGGATCGAGGTAGGTTTGCAGACATTCTCCACGCAACCTCTCCAAGTCATGACGTGCGCAAAGCGTGGGGAGCATGGACGGCAGTTGTGGTTGTGGCAAAGCCAAATGTCCTCTGCTCACTCTGGGCCGGTGAGGATGGAGGACGGATCAAGGCCTGAGGGGATTCGAGAGAGGTATGAAAGCCTTTTGTCGACATTGGCATTGCCCAGGTGCTGACCGCTTCAGTATGTATTTTCCCCCCTTCACCTTGACTTCTTGCGTCAACTATGCATGCATACGTGTACTGCAGACGCTGGCGTGGTACGTCTCCTGGTCGGCATTTGGCACATTTAACCGGATTTTCTCCCCCGTCCGACTATTCTCGAATACAAGTTAGAATCACGGAGATTTTACCTGGAATGAATCTTTGACTTGGTGTACCATGACGATACGTCTACAGCGACGCCTCCAACTCATCCAACCCCGAAACCTGCTTCACAATCCACTGTCTTTTCTCATCATCGGTGAACCTTGGGTATGGCCTTCTGCAGTCCGCACTGCTCTCTGGGTACCCCCTCTTATGGGCAACAACATACTTTGTACCGTTGATACCCCCTTTTCCGAAGCCCAATTCGGCGACGGAGAGCTTAACTTGAAGAGCGGACGACTCGGCCAGTTTTCCGGATTTGTACAGGTGATACATGTGTAAGCAGGACTTGGGGAAAAGGTTTGCGACACCAGTGATTGTTCCCACGCCATTGACTATCATTGCCGGTACTAACCAATCGCTTTGCCCAGCGAGGGCAACAAACTCGGACTGAGGGAACGCTGCACTTATCCTGGCAACCTTGGCAATTCCTCCACATGTAAGCTTGACGGCTACGATATTGCTGTGCTTTCCCAGAATCTCCAGCATGTCAGAGTCTAGGTCCAGACCCGCAACTACGTTTGGGAAGTTGTACAGCACAATTGGAACAGGTGAGGCATCAGCGAGCTCCTGAAAATAGGCCAAAATGGCATCTCGGCCCATGGCAAAGTGAAAGTAGGACGGCACAAGCGCAAGGTAATAGGATGCACCTGCTTCCTTTGCTTCAACTGTCTGCTGGATGGCATCGCGTGTGCAGCCGGCCACGCCGCCAATGGTAATGGGGAGGTCAGCGCGGCCCAGCCTTTCGGCGATTTTGCGTGCACTTTGCACGAGCTGGCGTTTTTCGGTCGACGAGAGGGTGGCTGCTTCGCCGTTTGTGCCGGCAATGACGATTCCGTGGAGGCCACTTGAAACCAGGAACTCAAAATGCTGTTCTTGGACAGCCCAGTCGATATCTTGCGAAGACGAGGATTGGAACCAGGTTAGAGATGGCACGTGTATGCCTGGAGGGAAGGCGTAGTTGGCGGCACCAGGGGTGGAGTTTGCGGATGGCATGATGACTGTATGTATGCGTATGCATGTACTCGAGGGTATCGATTGTTGAAAGCAGGGGGGGGGGACTGATGCAAAATGCAGAAGAGAAGAGGGCCTCTGTAGTAGAGATAGGCGCGGAGCCTGCGCCCAAGGTGTTACGGCATCGGCTGCTGACAAGCACCGCATGAGCCGAGCCGATGTGGCGCTCGCGTGTCGGCTGCGCTAACGCGTTATTGCGGGTCCTGCCTGCACTAGCTGCCATTGGGACTTAGCGGCACATGGATTTATATTGGGGCAGAACACATCACGTGACTCGTCGGGATGTCAGTGGCAGTGGCTTGAAAAGTATGGGGTACCCCGGTTTTGCGGGCAGCATAGCCATATGCACACAACTCTTGTCCTATTGTCTGCTTTGGTCACTTTCGCTTTTCGTTTTCGGCTTACGACAGCAGCACCATGGGCGGTTTCGCAAGGGCGCCCGAGGTATGTGACTTCACCAACATCGCTGCAATTCGTACGCATCGACTGACATTGTTGCTTTTCGCAGGACCGGCCCACTCCGCCTGAAGTGGTAAGTTTCAGAGCGACCTGTTGCAGAGAAGAGATGCAATCTCTAACGCCAACTTAGTACAACTGGCGCGTCTACTTGGCTGCTCTCGTCGTTTCCATGGGCGTTCTTGCATATGGCTATGACAGTGCGTTTATTGGGACAACGATTGCGCAAGAGTCGTTCCAGAGAGACTTTGAAATCAACAAGGAGAACAAGAACGACATCACCAGCAACATCACGTCCATCTACTCGGCTGGAGGACTCGTAGGAGCACTGTGCATGTATCCCTTCCTGGAGCTGCTGGGCAGACGGGCGACCGTCATTGTTTCAGATGCTATATTCAGTGTTGGCGCTGTCATGTGCACTGGTGAGCAGATCATGTGTGTTGTGGTGAAAGCCCCCACTGCAACGCTCCATTCCCTATTACAGCTTGTCAAACAATCTAGTCTTTTTTTTTACCATAGCACGCTGACTTTTCTCTAAATCAGTTCCAAGAAACCAACTCAGCCTCGTCCTTGCTGGCCGCTTCTTCACTGGCATGGGAGTAGGCGGCATAGCTGCTGTAAGCCCAACGTACATTGCCGAAATCTCGCCATCTGCTATCCGCGGCCGTCTGACTGGTTTCTTCGAGTCATTTTACCAAACCGGCGCTGTCATAGGTTTTTGGATCAACTATGGAATCGTTCACAACATGGACACAAAAACGTCTATTGCCTGGAGGATACCCATGGCCGTGCAGCTCATTCCAGCTGGCCTCCTGGCTCTTATGATTCCCGTTCTCAAAGAGTCGCCGACCTGGCTGCTGAAACGTGGTCGAGAAGCCGACGCCTTGAAATCATACAGCTATTTCCGAAACTTACCAGAAGATCATGAATATGTTCTTCAAGACGTACAATACATTAAAACCGAGATTGCCAAAGAGCGGGCCACACTTCTCCGAGGCGAGAAACACCCTACATTTCTCAACACCGTCAAAGCTGCCGCACGCGAGGCCGCCATGCCGGGCATGCGTAACAGATTTCTCCTTGTCTTTCTCATGTTCATGTGGCAAGCATGGTCTGGAGCCGCAGCAATTAATTACTATTCTCCTACCATCTTCACGTCCATTGGTCTTTCTGACGTCACCTTCTACACTGGAATTTATGGCGTCACCAAAGCCGGAGGTTCCATCATTTATTTTACTTGGTTTATCGACATGGTTGGTCGCAGATGGCCTTGGATTGTTTCTTCAGTTATTTGCTCGCTCTGCCAGTATTATCTTGCTATCTACATCGCACTGGGCAAGCCTACTATTGGGGAGTCAATGTCGGCATCCATGATCGCTGGCGGCAAAGCAGCCACCGCCTCTATCATGCTTTTCGGCGCAGCTTGGTCTTTTGGCGCCAATGGCGCCTGTTGGGTAAGATTTTCTTATCCAGTGTATAACAAGCTTACTGACTTTCTGTAGATTATCTCAGCGGAGATCTTTCCCGCTTCACAACGCTCTGTTTCCGGACCCTGGGCTGCTGCTAGCGTGTGGATTTGGACGCTAGTCGTAACAAAGTGCTTGCCGTCTATGTTCTCAAGTATGGGGTGGAGTGTTTATGCATTCTTCGCAACCTGTCTTATAGGTGCTGCGATATACGCTTATTTCTTCATACCGGAGACGAAAGGGTTGCGAATGGACCAACTGGACGAATGGTTTGGCTTCAAGAGACAACAAGAGTTCATCTTAGACACAGACAAAGAAAAAGGGACGAGAGAGAGTGAGCGTTTCGACAAAGTCGCTTCACAGCGGACTGAGGCTGTTTAGTGATCTTTTGATCAGGATGAATTGGATTCTCACGTGACTTTTGAGTCACGCCTGCCGCGATAACAATACAAGATGCACGACAAAAATGAAAATCTTTTGGCTACATTCCTCCAAGACCCAATGGAGTTAGTGCAATTGATATTTAAGTGTGCTACTGAAGTCAACTACTATAGGGCATCTAGGAGACACCACTTGATGGCAATAGCCACCATTACCTGCTTCGCGCAGTAGGCTTACACTGTCATTTGCCAGTGCACATGAATTTGACTTCTATCACCTCGCCTCATCTTTAGCTATAGAGATTCAGCTTATTCGCATGTTTCTTTTGGAGCCTTCTGACGAGTAAGGCACTGCCGCCTTGTAAATTAAGTAGATTGATACCGACACCACGTCATCATAACCCTTGAGCAGCTTCATGATCGTCATATCTCAAGAACGCGCGCCTTCGAACATCTCCAAGTATGTACAACTGAACCGGCATATATGAATAAAATAAGAAACGCCATCGACTCTGTGCTGAGCTGACCATGTACATAGCCTAAATACGTGCATACGTGCGAACGATGTTCGGCACTCGATGTTCCATTTGAATGCGATTCTAGCCTAATATGCGCGAGATTGTAAGCATCGCGTTTGATGCGAATCGCAGCCCTTCCACGCAACATAGGCTGTAGTATGTTACTGCATACTTGAGGCGCGTTCATTGCTCTTTCAGCCGCAACCAACATGGCGGTATCAAAGCAATTGTTTTACGGCGCGAACTATGATAAATGTCATCTGTTATCATGCTGCGACAGTATAAGGCCTGACCTTTGTCTCGAAAGCGTTTTGTAGGCCGATCGTCGTGAGTTGATGCCATGTGTTTTCTGACTTTCTTTTTGCTCTTTGCTCTCCTTGCAGCGCTCGCATCCGCAGTTCCCGCAGCAGTTTCTCAGGCAGCGCCCACTGTACCACCGGCAGGTGGAGTTTCTCTGGTATCCCTTGAAGTAACGCTCGACGGAAGTAGTGGTTGTCGGCCTGGCACAGTGAGCGCACTGCTCGCCTCGGATTATTCTGCCATAACCCTCCTTTTTGATCAGTTCTCGGCTGCAGACGGGCCCAAAGCCGGAAATGCAAAGAAACGCGCGTTTTGCAGAGTGAGCATCGGAATGGCAGCTCCGGGCTGGGCCTTTGATGTTACTTCGGCTGATTTTAGGGGGTACGTGCTGCTCGAAAAGGGTGTCAATGCTACTATCGAGAGTCGATGGAAGTGGGTTCTCGACGGCCAAGATTTGAAAGGCAAGGTATATGCTTCGTTACTGTGCGTGCATTGCCTCGCGCTGATCGTGTCTTTTACAGGGGAACATCCAGAAGATTGTCCAGGGCCCATTCGAAGAAGATTTCCTCCTACATAAGGATGGTGAGAGCTCGGTTAGTGAAGGAACAATATGTCAGAGAAAAGACGCAAAGATCCAGATCAGCCTCTCAGCTACCGTGGACGCAGGCACCTCTGGAAAAAACGGATATGTTCAAGGTAGTTCTGCAGACGCTGCATTTGGGCAGATACTGAACATCTCCTGGAAAAAGTGCTAGGAGGTGGGAGGAGAGTGTTGAACAAAAGGAACCAACGTCGTGAAAGCCGAAAGATGGCACATGATGGTGGGCACGTGTCACATGTGTGCCTCATGCGAACGTGTATACGAAACAAATCTATCGAATTTCAATGAAGGATTTGCGGGGTGAAATTCTTTTCCTGCCATCATCGCCTTGAGATGGATGCACCTTGCCCACACGTGAGGTGAATGACGCGGTGGCAGGGCGCACGGTTGTTCCCGCACTTAGCGTTGATCTGCCGCGGCCCGTGGACCCAAAGATTCTGCCTTGTCGCCTCAGATCATCAACGTCCCCTGCGTCAATATTTTTTTGCTTTGGATCGATCGCTTCCAGAAGACGAAACATTTCGTCCAACAGGTCTTGCAGCGGGACTAAGTAAGCGGACATGCGGACATGCGGACGGATCGACAGCCTTCATCAACGCCACCAGCGCCACCATGACAATCACCAGCTACACACTGAAAGTTCTTGTCAGCACTCTATTTGGACAGCTGCTACGCGACAACTTGTACATTGACAGCATTCAAGTCTCGCATTTCCGGCGCCATGCGGGCTCTGGGTCGTATGTTTTCTCAGACCGGTGTTGAAGATCCCGCCGCATGCGCTACGTTTCGAGTCGCCCCCAAAGTTTCGCTTGCCCCTCGAAACAATCGCACGTTTGGAGAGTCCGCACGGAGTAAGACTCGTCACCAAAAAGCATAAAATGGACCAACTCTTTGGTCACCTCTTTGGTCTCAAGTCACTTGCAAAGCCTTGTGCTACAGGGATCAACTATGCTATCTTTGGCCGCAAAAAGACCTATCAAGCGCTTCCTACACCAACCACTGTTCATGGGTGTACTCCGTGCCGAAACGTTCCCCCATTTCGGCACGTCTCTTGTGGCTTGGCATTGCGCTCTTATACACGGGAATTATGCTACCTGTCGAGAATCTGACACTTGGTCACCTGCCATCCCATCACATTTCTTGAAGCGCCAGCTCGATAGTTCTTCTATGGACTGCCATGGCTGCAGTTGGCACACACGATGATAAGTTAGCGGTGCTGGCACACCGTGGTCATCAAGACATGGGAAGTAGTAAGGCTGCAAGGGCTACACAACGGAAAGAGACGGATAGCGAGATGGAACACCATGGCCAGCGAAACGTCAACGTGCATCTCGAGAATCCGAATGCAATTCCACCCAAATCACCGCGGAGAAACCTACAGCCACTACCTTCGTCTCGACTCGCGAGTCCGTCACTGGAGCAATCACAACCACCCCGATCCAAGTTGCCGTCATCTTCTGCTGGCCGAGTGGACATGGAGATAGCCAACAGCACAAGCACTCAACAAGTACCGTCAAAGTCGCCAATGACGTCGTTGGCCGAATCAGGAGTCCTCCCAGGCGTGAACCAAGCCGATCCTGAAGACTTGGCCAACAAGATGCCAGGAAAGACCCAACCGAAACCGTCACTGGATGCTGCGGCCCTATCTCTCCTTCCTATGGACTCTCCTTCTACCTCATGGGCCACTGTAACAACCTTTATGACTTCGACGCAAACCATTTCAGCCCCAACGCAAACCACATCCAGCTCTGAAATGGGTCCAGGATTTGCGTGGCCAACACCGACTACGCTTACTACTACTACGACGGCGGCGCCTTCGTTTAGTGAAATTCCCCTACCCTCAATCAGCAGCTTTGTTCTCTTTTCGAAATCGGAAGATTTAAGAGAGCAGGCTACACCGCCTGCTTTGCTTTCTTCTTCCAGCTTTACAACGGCAGAAGCCATAACTGCATCTCTGCTACCGTCAACGCCTCCTCTACCAACGGTTGTGCCCACGCCTTCCAGCTTCGCCAGTGCATCTAATGGTAATCGGCGAACGGGGCTGACCCCGCTATCGAGGTCTCTCTTTGTTCTTTTTGGTGTCCTAGGTAAGTTGGCCATTTTCATGTCTTGGCTCATTGACTGAGACAATCTGACGATTTCTGCACAGGCGTCATAACCCTGATCATTGCAGCCGCAATCTTCTTTGTAGGAAGACGAAACAGAAAACGCGAGGAAGCGCTAGCAGAACAATATGCCCGAGAAGCACGGTCCAATGAACGCAAAAGGCCCATCTCGAACACTTCCTCTCGTTATGACGATGATCAAGATATACCCGTGTACATGACTGATAGCGAAAGAAACATTGTGCGTCGTGCTGCGACGCAAGATGGTCAGCCTGAAGTACGTTTGGTCTCTTAGCCCCGTCCGTCTTTTTTTCATCCTTTACATGGATAAAGACAGGTACTAACGTAGTGGAATAGATGAACATCACAGCTCCTGGTGCAAGACTGCACGACGCAATCAACACGTTCATCGCAAAGTCGAGACGTCTAACGTACAAGATTTCCCCGTAAAAGGTGTACCCATCAACATGATCTCCATCTATTTAGGTGAACTCGTACGTCATTGCAAAAAAGAAAAAAAGAAAAGAAAAGCAAGACCTTTTGTAATTCCGCCTATTTGTTGTAAATAAATTAATCAAGACTGTATATATGCTCTGTAGCGACGAGGGTTGTACAGACAGCGCGGCGTGATATGATGAAGAGCAGAAAAAGAGAAAATACAGTTTCCTATGGTTAATGTTATTAGGGACTTGGAAGCAGAAGAGCTATAAATTAAATTTATTATATTATTACCTTGTTTGTTGATGCGAAGCTGTTCATGATACGCTCCCAGGGCTCCTGGGCAGCGGCAGGTACTCAGACGTGATAGCCAAAGCAGAGGCAACACGCGGGGAATGTTCCATGGAGCAAACAACCGTGCTGTGAATGACTCGATTTTTCATAGATACGAGAATATGCGTATGAATGGATTGCGTCATGGGTATCATGGAAAAAGGAAATAGTAAATCTTGTAGTGTTATATTGTTTGGAGGATATATTATTTGTCATCTAGTTTGAGATGGCGGAGAAATAGGATGGTGCTAAGCAAACCATGGTTAACGACAAGGTCGAGATGAAGGACACCCACTGGCATGCTGTCGGCTCCAAGAGGAGATTTCCAGAAAGTCTTTCTGATGGAGTAGGCTTAAGCCGATACTTGGGACACGACGGAGAAGAAGATGACGGAGAAGAAGATGACGGAAGAGTATGATAGAGGAAAGTATGTACATGGTATACCTGGATAGAACAGATATGGCCATAGTAGTAGGGAATAGTGTTAGGAGACCTCTACTGATGGACGTGAGGTGTAGAGCAAGCCCTGATTGCCATATCCAGTAAGTTTTGCTTAGTGCAAAGTAAACAGAAGCATTGAATGCAGCACTAAGCGCCACTAGTCCATGTGTAGGATAAGAAAGCCGGCAAAAAAAAGGGCGCTGTAACGATGTTACAACTT